TGATGGTATTGTACTGATTGTGAGTAGATTCTGAGCATTTGGAGGCCGAGTCCAGAGGCAAGAGCATTACGGGGTAGAGATTTGACCGGTTCGAGGTAAGTAACAATTGTAAATCTAGTCCTGAGGGTATGAAACTCTGGATTTTGTATCATTCTACTATTTTTAGTGACGCACATGCTAGGTGACGGGCGTGTGGGCGTGCACTGTTGGGAGTTATGACTTGGTTCGTCCCATAGCAACTGTAAAGTTGCATACTTTGTTGAAACTATATGATACTTATATGTTTTAGAAAGAGTTTCTGTAAATTGGGCTAAATGCCATGTTTGGGCCTTGTGTCATTGCTGTTTGGACCCTTAGGGGCCTTTTCTTACTATCCTCTCATTATTTTCGATTGAAAATCTATACTCAGTCATGGTTATACTTGTTTACTGCATAACTCAGTTTTATGACTCTATTTTGATGCATATAAATGTTGTTTTGGGTCGAATGCCCTGTTTTTACTGAAATACCCGAGTGGCTTGAGAGGTTTATGATTAAGTGAGGCCGAGGGCCTGATTTGTGAGGATATTTATGGGATCGGGCTGCACGCCGCAACATGTTTGATATAGGCCAAGGGCCTGAGTGATTTATGCCATGATTTGTCTTGATATAGTGCTTGGGCTGAAGGAGCCCCTCCGGAGTTTGTACACAGCCCCAGTGAGCGCATGTACCTACTGAGTGCGAGTGCCGAGTGCTGAGTGACTGGGAGGCATGAGTGATTGTGAGGTATGCCCGAGCGGTAAGAGTGATTGTGAGGTATGCCCGAGTGGCACGAGTGATATGAGGTTTGCCCGAGAGGTTGTATATGAGTGATGTTTTGCCCGATGGGCTGTTTATGATTTCATCATTTTTGCTCACCTTTGCATTTTTTCTGTCTGAAAACTGTTGAAAAATATATTTAAATGATTTTTACTGGAACTGGGTTTAAACGAGATGTTTTGATTCAAATCCTGATTTTAAAAGCATGTGGTATTTTACTGAGATTTTCCTGATATGAATGGTATATGCTTTATTTCTCGTCACTACTACTCAGTCTTTATTTATTCTTGTTACTTACTGAGTTGGCGTACTCACGTTACTCCCTGCACCTTGTGTGCAGATCCAGGTATAGCTGGACATAGTAGTGGTTGTTGATTGTTCTGATTGCAGATTTTTCCGAGGATAGCAATGTAGCTGCCTGGCGATCGCAGCCCTCCCCTTCTCCCTCTTATCTTCCTCTAGTTGTATTTAGCTATTTTTCAGGCTGAGTTAGCCTTGATATTGTTAGACAGATTGTAGTAGATGCTCATGACTAGTGACACCCCGATGTCGGGCTTTTCCTTCCGCACTTTTATTTTGATTGGAACTCCTTTATGAAGGTTTTTATGTTAAATAATATTGAAATTATCTTTGAAATGAAAAATATCGGTTTGTTTTAGAAATGAGTCGGCTTGTCTAGTTCCACGATAGGCGCCATCACAACAGGGGTTAGTTTGGGTCGTGACAGGGTTGGGGATGCTCCACCTTCTCTATAGAACCCCAAAACTTAGCCAAAAATGAAATTTCTTTCTCTCTCCTCGAATCCCCCTCTTTTTATAGATAATAGCCTACGTAGGCAAATTGCGTAGCCTACGCAGATTGGCTACGCAGGCCTGTGTAGCCTACGCAGCTTAAGTCATCCCCCTCACTTCCATTTTGTTTTTGCCTACGCAGCCTGCGTAGGCTACACAAGAAGGCTACGCAGGTCTGCTGGAATCCTTTCCTCCCTCTTAGCTCAATCATTCCAATCTATGCCTTTAATCATACAACTTGAGGACCTTAAATCCATCTTACCTTCATACCTAAGTATTGTAATGATCGTATTACCCTCGTGTGGGTTCACAAGCACTTCGAGGTCTCGCAAAATATTCTCTTAAGCTCGAGTTCGGCTTAATCTTGTTAGAAAATTTTTTTGGGGCTTCACAGGGAGAATAAAAAATAGCTAACTTTACAACTCATAATTGAAAAATAGTCACATGTTAAAAAATAATCAAGATTTAGCCACTTTTTCATGTAAAAATAAAATCTAAACAAAAATATCCTTAAAAATTCGGGAAAATTCCAGCATAATATGCTGAAGTTTGATTTTTTTACATATGAGATTCCAGCATAATACGCTGGAATTTCATAATGTGCTAGAGTTCCAACATAGTATGTTGGAGGTTTATACGCATGAGTTCCATAATCAAGCATATTATGCTGGAACTTTTCGTGTGCCGGAGCTCCAACATAGTGAAAGTTTATACATTAGAGCTCTATAATTCACCATATTATGCTCGAACCTTCCGTGTTTCAACAAAATAGTAATTATTTTTTAATGACTTTGCAAACATTAGCTATTTTTTAACTAACAGGTGTAAAAACTGGTTAACTCATGCTATTTTAATCAAAAGTGAAGCTTTTATGGGGCCATGTACCCATGTTACATACAAATAAAGTGGAGTAATTTGTATTTTACCTTAGAAGTTAATAATATAATAAGTAATGATAAAAGACAAGGGACCCATGCTACAGAAAGTAGAATTGCAAAGAAAATCAGGATATGGGCATCAAAGATGAGAAACAGAGGTTCCCCATACAAACCCAAGCCCAAAGATCAGTCAATTGAAAGACCTAATGACTGACAACTTCCAAGTGAGAAAATGCCCAAAAAATTTATTCTGGATCAGTGGGACCCATATCCCATGTGTGGCCATATTTATAGCAGACTGGTTCAAGCCAGTTGAGTCATAAACACTTGTTTTCTTACCCTTTTTACTACGACAGATTGATCCAAAATTCCAAACTGGAGGAGGATCTTATCTGCCCAATGTCAAGGGAGTAAGTGGAATCTCTGACCAGGAATTTGTTTACGTGGACATTTTACACCCAAATATAAGTTGTTATGCCTTTGTCTAGTTTTCGATTCAATACAAAACATATACCCGTCTTTTGTTCCACTGTATGTGATAAGTACTATTTTTTTTTAATTATTTCATTTGAGAAAAAAGTAATTTGGTACATAAAGTATTATGCGATGCACTCCGAAGGTATGATGTAGATAACCTACTATAATGAACGCATGACAAAGTTTAGAAAATAATGATTATTTCTTTGTAATTGCACATGATGAATAATATTTGACTCGCAAGAGAGTTACTCCTATCTAGGAAATAGAGGTAAAAACTTACCCATCGGGTGTTAATACTAAACAAATAAATACATAACATGTGTTTTAATATAAGGTTTTCTAACTTGATCATGATTAATTAATATATATTTTTATCTCGTTAAATTATTTAATCATAATAAATTATATAATTTAATGTATAAACACGGTGCAAGGAGTAATTTTTACTGAAAATGGAACACCCTTTATACCATTTTGTCAAATAAAAACAAGCTCATTGGACCCCATAAATAGACTGATGAAGTGAAAGTATTTACTTATTGCTATTGATCAGTTGTATGAAAGCTTCAGGGATGGAATCTCCCTTCTTCCCATTGTCCTTCAAGAATCTTGATTGCTTTTTGGGGTATTATCATATTTAGCCCGCGATAAAATTATTTATATTTGTTAGTCGAAAAATATATAAAATTTATATAATTTTAGTATATAACATACAATATATATATATATATATACAAAAAGTATCTTTTTTGGGTTATTATTTTGATAGCGACAATACAATGTCATTTCCTACTTTTTCCTTCCTTCACTTGTCACTTTCATTTTAACAAGTGTTGGGATAAAAAAAGTTGCGGCAACCACGAATATAGGATTTAAACTCTATAAGTTTAATTTTTAAGGCTTTTAAAACTGAATCTATTGTATCTTTAAACTTATGTGTTCAAATTTATCATTTGTGACAATTCTAGTAAACTTTTACATATAAATTTATGTTTCGCGTAAAAAATACTAGATTCAGATAAATACTAATCCGGATCATGAAGCCAAGAGTGAAGTAGTACGAATTTCTAATTTATTATTTGTCTTTTTCAAGCTCTTCAAAGTCATGGAGTGCACGACATAGGGACCTTTCATGTGCTTGAGCAAAAGTGCAGCGTGCCAAACTTCAGCAACTTTTCTGGGAAAAGTTCACGCGCCCCCAAAAAAAAAAAAACTTAAAGGCAATGTTTATAATTTAGAAAATCAACAGGTTATTTTAAAATAATTAATTCTAAAAAGTTTGTGATATGTAAAACCTATATATGTTTCAAATATTGAAGTTCGTATTTTCGAAAAATTAAAGAATTGAGTTTTGAAGCCACATCGAAAATTAAATGCATTGGTCATAGTTAGTAGCACAGAAACTTAAAAATTATACTATCTTTTTGAATGATAGCATTTAGTTTCAAGTCGGAATTACATATATATACCAGCTCCAAAATACTTAACAAGTGTTGTATTTGTTAAGATTAATTATTCACTTAGCTTAGCTTAGTCACTAGCTTAGTTATTGGAGCAGAATTATTAGTGTTAGCTGTCATTTAGTGGAACGTATTAGTTAAATGACAGTTGTAAAAGCTTTAGTTAGTGGACTTCATTTTTCTTAACATTTTTGTTTTTGTATATAGTGGACTCTCCACTCAGATTTTAATTTTGAAGAGAAATGAAATTCTAGAAGTTTCACTCTCTCTCCTTCTTCATTCTCTTCACTGTAACCTCCCATGACGTAAAAGTCCAGTTCTCATCACCATTAAAGCTTAGCTGAGGCTTAAGCTACTATTACACTAACGAATTTAATATGGTATCAGAGCAAGAAGCGTAAGTTTGGACTCGTCTCTTTGAATCTGTTAGTTCTAATTCCGTCAATCTCGGTCTCAATCAGATCGCACACATGCAAGTTCATTTTTCATCAATTTCAAACTTTTCTGTTTCTATAATCACTTGGAAATTGCTTCTAGATCTGTAATCATTGTTTTCTAGTTCTCAATCATTTAGAAATTTCATACTGTACGAGATGACTATTGTCGAAGATGATGATCAATCTACACCGACCATGGCTGAACCGCCTAATCAGTCAAGTGTTAATATCAATAGTCCCTTGTATATGCATCCATCTGATAATCCCGGAGCAGCGTTGGTTCCTGTTCCATGTGATGGTTTTGGATATCGATCATGGAGAAAGGGTGTAATGCGAGCCCTATCAGTGAAAAATAAGCCGGGATTTATCAACGGGGAATGTAAGAGACCAGATTCAGACTCATCGAAATTTCGACTATGGGAAAGATACGATGACATGGTCACTTCATGGATTCTAAACTCCTTAACTAAGGAGATTGCAGATAGTGTTGAATATGTGACAGATGCATTTGAATTGTGGAGAGAACTTGAAGATCGATATGATCAAACAAATGGAACAAAACTCTACCAGATCCAAAAAGAAATCAATGATCTATCCCAAGGAGCCCTTGATATCACTGGTTACTACATTAAAATGAAGAAGTTATGGGAGGAACTCAACACTTTAATTGTCAAATCTCATTGCACTTATAATTGTACATGTGGAGCTAAGGAAAGCATGTACAAAGCTGAGCAGGATAAGAGGTTGATACAGTTTCTTATGGGATTGAATGAGACATACACTATAGTTCGAGGCAGTATACTCATGATGAATCATCTTCCTTCAATTGCCCAAACTTTTTCATTGCTAATTCAAGAGGAAAGGCAGAGAAAAATCAAGCCAAATAATCATTTGGCTCTAGAGTCATCAGCTTTAAGTGCTAGCACAAATAGACCCGGTTCATTCAAGACAAACTATTCTCCAAATAACAATCATAACAACATGAACAGACCTTTTTGTGATTATTGTAAGAGACCAGGGCACACCAAGGAGAAATGTTATAAGCTTCATGAATATCTTCAAAGTTTCAGTCAGAATCAGAATCCAAATACAAATCACAATCAGACCTCCAACTTCAATCAAAATCCTAGACAAAGTTTCAACTACAATCACAATTCCAACAACAACTAGAATAATTGGTTCAATAGAGGAAATAGAGAAGTGGCTAATGTATATGTAGCAACCACTGATACACAACCTGCTGAAATTGAGAACAACTCCACATGTGTTTATTGGTTATCCTTTCAACACAAAGGGGTACAAAGTCTTGAGTATAGCCACTAGAAAGATTCATATCTCCAGAGATTTAGCCTTCAATGAGTCCATCTTTCCTTTTGCAATCAACATTAACATATCTCCTCAGTCATTTGTCCCTCATTCAATTCCCTTCATTGAGTCTCTATGTGAACAACCCTCTGATAGTACAAATATTACACAACTGTCTGAAGATTTCAATGATCAAAGGAGTCCTGATAGCACATCCAATCCTATGTCACCTATACATATAGCTTTCCCATCATTTTCTGCGGTACCCTTTTCTTCATTACCTGATTCACCACAATATTGTTACACTGAACAGACCCATGCAGAACATGTCCAATTGAGGCAATCTCAAAGAACTCATAAAACACCTATCTATTTGTAATATTATGTACATTCCCTTCCTCACCTTAAAACAAATTCTGTTATCCTAAATGCCTTATTCTCTATGAATCACCACATTACCTCTGATCTACTAACCTCTAACAATTAGACTCTTGTGAGAAATGTTTGTCATGACTGGGAACCATCATCATATGAGGAGGCAGCCATTGATCCTGCATGGCAAGCAGCAATGACACATGAATTTGAAGCACTATATTCTAATGACCTAGTAACTTTGCCACCTAGGAAGCAAGCAATAGGTTGTAAATGGGTCTACAAGGTGAAGCACAAAGCAGATGGCAACATTGAAAGGTTCAAAGCTAGGCTGGTTGTTAAAGGCTACACTCAGTAGGCAGGAATTGATTATACAGAAACATTCTCACCAGCAGTAAAGATGACAACAGTAAGGGCTTTGATAGCTACATCAGTTAAGAAAGGTTGGTTCATATTTCAATTAGATATGAACAATGCTTTCCTCCATGGAGACCTCAATGAGAAGGTGTATATACAGGTACCACCTAGGCTTGTTGTGGATGAAACGGGATTGATTTGTAAACTAAACAAATCTCTTTATGGCTTGAAACAAGCCAGTCGATAATGGTATGCAAAGTTGACTGAGGCATTGTGTTCAAAGGACTATATACATTCCATGTATGACTACTCACTTTTCTATAAAAGAAATGGAGAATCCTCAGTATATGTTGTAGTATATGTGGATGATGTACTACTCACTGGAACTGACCAAGAGGAAATTGCACAACTCAAAGTATTTCTACATGAACAATTCAAGATCAAGGACCTGGGGCAGCTGCACTACTTCCTGGGATTGGAGATTATGTATAAAGATGATGGGGTTATTATATCTCAAAGGAAGTTTGTGCTAGATTTGTTAAAAGAATACAATTGTTTGGATTACAAACCTTGTTCTTCACCCTTGGATCCCACTATAAAGTTGAAGGCTAGAGAAGGCACAATCCCACAGGATCCTACCTATTATAGAAAGCAAGTAGGTAAATTGAATTTTCTAACTAACACCAGATTGGACATTGCATATAGTGTCCAACACTTGAGCCAGTTTATACAGGAACCTAGAGAACCTAATCTGAAAGCAGCATTTCATCTGCTCAGATATTTGAGAAATGACCCTACTTTGGGAATTTTCATGTCAAATAATGGAGATCACACAGTTAAAGCCTATTGTGATTTTGATTGGGCAGCCTGCCCGGATTCTAGGAGGTCCATTACAGGTTATTTAGTGCTACTGGGCAACAATCCTATCAGTTGGAAATCTAAGAAACAAGAGACTATATCTTTATCTTTTGCAGAAGCAGAGTATAGAGCTCTCAGGAAAGTAGTATGGGAACTAGTATGGTTGAGCAGACTATTTGAAGAACTGAATGTTCCTTTTTCCTTACCTATCTCAGTATTCTGTGACATTCAATCTGCACTGCACATTGCAAAGAATCCAGTATTTCACGAAAGGACCAAGCATATAGAAGTGGATTGCCATTTTGTGCGTGGTCAATTACAAGCAGGCCTAATTTCTCTCTACCACATCCGAACAGATAATCAGCTTGTAGATGTTTTGACTAAATCCTTGACCGGGATCAAGCATAGTGCTACATTAGGCAAGTTGGCTGTGTTCACCACACCTCCAACTTGAGGGCGTGTTAAGATTAATTATTCACTTAGCTTAGCTTAGTCACTAGCTTAGTTATTGGAGCAGAGTTGTTAGTGTTAGCTGTCAGTTAGTGGAACGTATTAGTTAAATGACAGATGTAATAGCTTTAGTTAGTGGACTTCATTTTTCTTAACATTTTCTTTTTTGTATATAGTGGACTCTCTACTCAGATTTTAATTTTGAAGAGAAATGAAATTCTAGAAGCTTCACTCTCTCTCCTTCTTCATTTTCTTCACTGTAACCTCCCATGGCATAGAAGTCCAGTTCTCATCACCATTAGAGCTTAGCTGAGGCTTAAGCTACTATTACACTGACAAATTTAATAGTATTTACCACTAATGTGATGATACTTTTTGTTTCAAAACATTTTCGAGTTAATTTACATATAAAGAAGTAAATATTCCATGACCGAATGAACTATGAAGGAAACTGAACGTAATATTCATTGTTTAACAAAATATTTTTACAACTTCTTAAAAATTTAATTTTACGTACTCTATACAATCAACCCTTGTATTTCTTTTATTTTTTCCCATCTTATAAATCAGCCCATGTAATTAAGAATGAAATATGGACATCCTTTTTAACTTAAAGAAAAAACAAAAGAGAAAAATATGAAGGTCGAGTTGGATTAAAAGCATTTCATATATATTGACTGGCTATTACAAACTTATTTCCGTGCAAGAAATGGAAGAGGAAGATGCATCATATCACCTAATATCCAACAGCAATACTCTAAGCATCGTTTGCTCGTTTGATTAGAAAAGTTTCCAAAAACTTATTAATATGTTTAAACCGAACCAAAGGGATTAGGTGTGATCTCAACTTAAGTTCTTTTTGGAATTTCCTTCTTCTAGTCTAGTATTGATGGACTCATTCATTGCAAAATGTTATCAGTATAAAAAGAATCTAAACTATAATCTTATCCAAGTGCCAACCAAATCAGGGTTATATGTCTTTATCATATTGGCCAATTCGTTTGACCTTTACCCAAAACGTAAATTTGAAGGCAAAATAATCGATAGAGAAAAAAACAAAAAGCAAGAGAAAAGAAAAAATCTTTTGCCTTCTGTTTTTCTCTGATGGTCACAAAACATAGCCAGATACATCAAATGAAAATATCTTCCTCTCTTTAAATAATCTAATACGACTTTTAATAATGGCACAAAAGATGCTAATACTATTACTAGCTACTTATAATTTATTGAAAACATGGTCACCCTCATTGCCGTTTGGAATCAGGAGAACTCCTAGTAATTTAAAGTAAAAAATTTATCTCCATATGAGTTTACACCAATTCAATAAATACATGATACACATATATATATATATATATATATATATTGTTATCACTAAATCATAATTAATTTATACATATTCTTACCGTAAGGGCACGTTTGGCCATAAAAAAATCACTTTTTTTGGAATTTTTTTTTTTTCGAAATCAGTGTTTGACCATGAAAATTTTAAATTTCACATGAAATTGAATTTCAAAATTTTTCGGAAATTCAAAAAACTCCAAAAAGTTATTTTTCAGAATTTTCACTACAAATCACTCATAAAGATTCAAAAATAACTCTATATTGTATTTATATCCAAACACAACTTTAATTTTTCAATATTATTTTTAATTTTTTTTTCCCCAGAATTTCACAATTCTTATGTCCACACGCCCACTAAATTTAATAAGTATAATTTGGTGTAAAAATTGAATACGGATAAATTTTATCGTAATTTCATGAACTTTCTAATCACCACTTTGAATATTCTTATTTTATAACAATGTCTCATTAAGAAGCATTATTGACATTCCTATTTTTCGGCGTGAATGACCCCACTGAGCTGTATCACTGTATTAATGTTAATACTAAATTGATCTTTTGTAATTTTGTTCCCATATTACTTTCACTGATGACTCATCACTCATGACATGGTGTATCTTGGGTTTTCTGAAGAAAAGCACCAAATCAGTCACATAATTATAAAGACAAAGAAGCACAAGTTGCACTAGTTTGGATCAATTTTCATGTTAGCCTATGGGTGGCAGTCATTGCATCGAGATCGTAGGATTTAATTAAAAATTGCTCAAGTTTCTATTTCGATGAGAGAAGAATCGTTAATCACTTTGAGATATTAATCTGTTCTTAACCTAAAAAATATAAGTATCTTTTTATTGAATACCTTTTCTGTTTGACAATGCTGCGGCTAGGGTCAGCTTGTGCATCTAATCTTTTTTGATTATTCATTTAGTGTCTTGTATTTGTATTGGAGTCCGACTAATTTGGATTCACCAGAAGATTCACCGATAACTATGCAATTTGATTTACACAAATAAAAAAGGATTATTTAGCCTTATTTTTTTTCTTTTGTTTGTCTCTGACCCCAAAATTCTCTTATGATCGTCATTCCATATTTCTATGTCGAGTAGTACTATTTGGTGCAATTTATTTTGTTTTCATTTAGTCTTACTTGTTTAGTACTTACTACACATGAGTGTTGTCTCCCCTGGTCTATATTAATGTATTTGGATTCAATTTTAATATAATATCACAAAAATAGCGTAGTCAGAGGATCGGTAGAATTTAAACTGTAAAAAGCTTAAATAATAATCTATTGATCTCTAAAATGAAGATCCTATGATTCTTTACTATAATCTCCTTTTTTCTTCATCTTAGATGTAAATATAAAAAGAAAACGAAAAAGAAGAATGTTTTGTTTTTACTTGAAGATCTGTTTAAAAAGAAATGACAGGAAAAAGGATAAAATTTAAAAAGAGTCCACCCAAATATTTATTACTAGTATATTTGTGGGGGTGGGTCCCGCTGACGAAAACAACAACGCCCGTCTAGTTTTTAATATCTAATCACATCAGGAAACGTGTCCATCTTTGATACCGTGTAATAGTAGATAAGAATCTCATCTGAAAAATCTACCACTCCACTAGTTGGACAAATATTAGAATCTCTATTCTCTTGTATCTTTTACCTGTAAAATGCACATGATAACTGTAATATTTTCTTCTTTTAAGTTTTAAGCTTTATACATTGATCTATAAAAGCATAATCATTTAAATTATAGCATAATTATTAAAAAAAATTATGTCAGTACATGTTAAAATTTACTAATAATGAAAAAGATCTTTACATTTTATATAATTAATGTACTTCTCTTTTTCTCTCCTAACTAATGTGGTAGTTGGAATCTTTTTTCGAGTTAAAAAAATACTAAGTAGTTGGTTTTTTTTTATTCCATAAAATATTCAACGCCTATTTGTTTATGTTTTTTCTATACTAAAGCTGTCTATGAACAGTATGATGTTAATTAGTTTACTTTGGAGGTGATGTCACATATTCCGTCTGTTTAAAGCTTTTGGAACTCGTCTAGGGCTCGTCCCAGAGCCAAGACACCATCAAAGCGCTCTGAGGCACACTTGCAGGGCTTAGTTATACGAGGCTTACGCTCAAGGGCGGAGCTAGAGTGTAGTCAGTGGGTTCGGCCGAACCCAATAACTTTGGTTCGAATTCTGTATTTGTCTTAAAAAATTTATTGAATATGTACAATTATTAATTTAGAACCCAGTAAATTAAAATGATTAGAATTCCGAACTCATAAACTTGAAATCCTGGCTCCGCCTCTGCTTACGCCCAAGCAACCGACTGCGCGCCTTGAATACGACTACGTTCAACGCTCGAGTCTTGCCCAATAGTTCTTACACAATTCATGTGTTAAATTCCCTAATTAGCTTTGTTGGCCCTCGTAATTCTATAACAAATGAATGATATAAATTATATTCATATGTAAAAATATAATAATTAGGAGTAACTCAAATAACGAGACATAGTATTGCGTATTATTTGATTGAACATCGCAAGAATGAATTTTATTTGAACATTTCTTTGGGAAATAGATAGCCGAAATCTGTATCTTCACTTGCCATTGGTCTTTTATGTCTTAGTTCCACATATCTCAAATTTAAAGTATTTTGTATTTAATCGTGAAGGAATAATATTTTAAATTACAGTATTGATTAAATTTATCATATTTATTTTACTTTCAGGGAGGTAAAATATGTAGTTTGATAATAATTTTTAAGAAACTCTTATTTTTTAATTATTTGAAAGTTAATTACGATTGATTGGTGTCTCATAACTTTAATATTAGTGCATTATTTATATTTATAAAAAATGATCGATACTTTTGTTTCTATGAGTTTCTTTATTCCTTTTTAATTTTATTAATTTTAATGTACTTTTTATATATTTTGTGTTATTATTTTATTTTATTAATTTATAAATTTAACGATCCATGGGGATTACGCTCCGTGCCTCAAAATTTTCATTTTGCCCCATATTACGTAAAACGCTTCACTTCAAGTCCCCGCCTTTTAAAAACACTGATATTTCCTCGTCTATACAAAGGAAAAAGCAGAAAAATAAATATTTCTGTTTTAAACTACCTGAAGCCTGACTTTCGAAGATAGGATATTGCGTTTTGTATTTAGAAGTAAAATATAGGTTTTCCATCTTGATCGATGCCATCCAATGATGTAACGAATTGAAATAAAACAAGTGTTAAGCGCAAAAATTTAAAAAAGAAAGACGATTTATTAAACACATTATAATTTGACTGAGTGTCTTAACAAGTATAGTAGTGGAGTAGTATTTTATTCATCTTTATCAAAATAAAATTTCGTTCCTTGAGCTCGAAAATTTTATTTTTTAAATTCAAACTCTCTTGATTAAAGATTTAAAGTTGGAGAACTGAAGATATCTTAACTATCCACCACATCTTATGATGTGTGAAATTCAATTAATTTGTCCTTTTCCTAGCTAACTTCCTATTTCTAATTTCTTTTTTTCTTCATTTTCATATTTTCCAACAAGCAGTAAAATACTTATCCAATTATTGTACATACGTCTACATTTCCAATAATATCCCCTTTCCTTCCTTTATAAACAGTCTTTCTTCTCCACCTTTTCCCC